GCCTCCCAAAGTGCTGGGATTACTGGCGCGAGCCACAGTGCCCGGCCATTCCTACTGTTCCCTTGGAGTGGAAGTACCCCTTCTTGGAGGGGGTAGGAGGTCGTGGGAAGGTGATCGAAGGAGGAGGGAACTCTGGTCTTGCTTCCTGCTGCTGGCAAGTGCAGACCTGGGTGTCTGAGGCACGGGCAGAAGACGGCACAGGAAGGAAGCCTCTTTTTATCTCCTTACAATGGGAGTGGTGGCTCTTTTAATGAGAGAAAGAATGGATCACAAATTGTTTTTCTCCTGCTCTAGGAGCTAGGTCTCCAGAATAAAATTTCTCATTAAAATATCAGTATGCCACCACAATCAAAAACCTGTTGACAGACTGAAGACCTGGGACACTGAGACAGCCTGTTGCAGAATTTGGAGCCTCAGGAGGGACCAAAGCAAAGGGTCCAAAGGGTCCGAAGGGAATCCACTCAAGAGGCCAGGAAGGTCATTTACAAAGCATGGCTCTGACGGCAAAGCTTACCCCACTTCATCAACGCTATGGGAAGCCTTGTTGCTCCTCCCAAGGACATAAGCATATGAAGGTGAGCTGGCAGGCCACTGCTCAAGGCACGCTAGGAAAGCTGGCTTCTCCAACCTGCTGCCGCAGTGAGGACCTGGGGCCTCAGATGGTCTCTCCACCAGTAAGGCTGCTTAGCGCTTGACAGTGTATAATCAGGAGGTTCCTCCCTGAGAGGCCTGTGGGAGGTGGGCAGGCAGCCAGGAGAATCCCAGAGAATGCGGAGTGCCACAACTGTCAGGCCTCAGAACCCATGATGTAATGCCTCTCCGGGGGCAAGGAAAACAAGCCCGCTGTTGTCACTGCCCTCCCAGCAACCAGGCACTGCCCTCCCCATGGCACGGCTGTTCTGCATAATTACGATCCCACTCTCTCTCCTTGGGAGGAGGAAATATGAAAAACCTTTGCTGTCACATAAAAACCAACCCAAGATATGAGAACTGTCTTTTAAAATACATCTTGCTGTAGAAAGATTTCCATAGCAACTTCAGAAGTGTGTGTATACAACTAGAGATAAGTCTAGGCTGATGAAAGCCACCTGGAATGTGAACAGGCTCTGGGCATCAGCAGCTGTGGATTTTTCTAGAACCTGTCATGTTGCTGTGTGACCCTGGGCAAGTCACTTACCCTCTCTGATGCCTAAGGTGATAGAATCATCATTAGATCAAGCTGAGAGAGATCAAGTTCATCTTCTCCACACTACCTGGTCTGATGCTTCAGTTCCCCAAGGCTTCCCCTGCTTTCAGCTTCTGTCCAGTCTCTGGCTGAATAAGTCCTGGCTGAAGGCCTCTGCCAATATTACTTATTATTTGATATTGGGAAAGACAATGATCATTTAAGCTTGATTCTAAAAATATTGCTCAGTGTTTGTAAGAGAAGTGCTTTGCCTGTTTAGGAAACAATGTATTAATAGGGCAGATTCCTGGGACAGAGTCTGTGAGCTGCTGAGATTTGGGGGTGGGAGTTTGATTGGGGCTGCTCTCAGGATCAACACCTCTGGGGTGTAGGGGAAGCTCCCAGGTGCAGTGGTAACAGAGGCCTTAGGCAATCCCTCAGGGACCCTGGAGCCCAGTTGAGTGTGCTACTAGAAGCAATCAGGGTTGGGCCTTTGAACTCCCACACTAACAAATCCCCTCGGGAGCTTGCTGCTCCCAAGCAAGGGGCTTGACCTTAAGAGAGGGACTCAGTCACAACCCCAGCTAAGGGAATGAGAGCCCGGGTCCTGGAGGGGCATCCGGGTGAAGCAATATGCCATCCACTACATGGTTGTGTTTGAATTGGATATGAAGGCAGCCCGGGAGGCTTAAGTATGATAACATGGTCAAGACCATAGGCAGCGGAGGCAGGGAAAACAGCAAGACTGGGATTCACATGTCAGTCTCAGTGGCCTTGAGACTCTGAGATTGGGAAAGTTGCCAGGAGAGTCGAGGCCATGATTTCCTCGTATGTGCAGGATTCAGCCTGGATTGGTGACACACACATGGAAGTTCAGAGTCAGAAACGAGTCCAGATTCTGGCTCCATGCTTACTATTAAGAGCTCGGTGACCTCGGGGCCAGTTACTTTCTATCAGTTTCCTCGATTCTGCCATGAGGCTTCATGTCCAATTCAAACACATCCATGTAGTGGATGACATGTTGCTTCACCCAGATGCCCCTCCAGAACCTGGGTTCTCCTCCCCTCAGGCAAGGTACCTCTCTCATAGATCTATTGTGAGGGTAAGCTGGGATGGCATATGGATTTTACACAGAACTAGCACAGGGGAGTAACAATAACATCTACCATGCTTTAATACACCTCATGTTATACCTAAGTCTTTGTTCAAATGGCCTTTTTGCAAGAGAAGGAAACTTTCAGAGAATTTCCGATTTGCTCATTGATCCTCCGTGCCTTGGTCTTAGCGGGGGCTTATGACCCATGTCTGTAGAAAGAGAGAGAGAGACCCAGTGGCCCACCAGGGGCCAGGCTACTCCAGCCTCAGCTTGGAAGTTATGGAAGGCCATGCAATATCAAATGAGATGCATCATCTAAGTACTTTGCAAACTACATTCTTTAAAACAAGCTTATTTTCCAGTGAAAAATAGTCACCCCTTCTTGTGACAGGTTCAATAAATTATGAAACTCACTTGCAGGTACTTTGTTGCATGTTCAGCCTGTTTGCTCATCTGAAGTACATGCCAGGGATCATCCGAGGACATGAAAGACTTCAAATAGCTTAAAGGGCTGCACAAATTCAATTACTATTGTTGATAGACAACGCGGCTTCCATCATTTAGAAAGGAAAAGAGGAAGAATATAGGCCAATGTATGGTAGAAGTTGGGCTGTTCTAATTATAAGAAGGCAGCACAAAATTCCCAAGAGTTATCAAGGGATCTACACTATTATTACTAATTTTCACCATCACTGGATCGCAATACACAGTGCATATATACTACCTTGTTTGACTCTAACAGTAAATCCTGTATCCAGCTTTCAGATCAGAAAATTGAGGTCCAGAGAGGTGAAGCAACCAGCACAATGTTGCTCAGCTAACAGTACCATGAGGAGTTTGGGGTTGAAACCCAAGCACATGCTTTCTCCATTGGGCAAAGAGCGTCTGCTTACCGGAGAAGGCTCATGAAGCCCCGTGCAGTGTGGTCCCACTCAGAGCGGATGTTGCAATGTCAGCTGCTGAGTAATGGCGAGGTTCTGAATAGGTGAGCATGGTGTGTCCCTGAGGCTCTGTGTGTGAGAAAGGTCTTCCAACACTGCACTGGCTCTCACAGCCTGAACCTGCATCCCGGAGCCTGAACCCTTGTTCTGCGGCAGCAGAATGCCCTCTCAGTTTGACCGTGTGTCTGCTGGCCAAAACGCTGAAAGAAATATCTGCAAACAGAACGTCTCAAAAATAGGTAGGAGATATGGTTCAAGGTACCCATGTGGGGTGTGTTTAGGCTAACTCTTCCCCAGACTTCTTTGTCTTGTTTGATCTCTGCTAGGACACTGGTGCATGGAAGGTGTGGCAATATAATTGTAAGTGTTGACGAATTAAGGATGACTACCAGGATCTGTGTAAATTACATAGGATGCTTCACCATACCTCCCAACATACTGAAAATAATCTCTCTCAAGTAAACATAGCTTCGTTCTATTTCAAGTGATCCTCAATTTAAAATGAGGAAACTGTATTCCGGAGAGGTTAAGTAACTTGCCCCAGGTCTCACAGCTACTTAGGGGCAGAATCACGGTTTCTAACCTAGATTTGGACTCCCCATATCAAATCAGATTAAAATGAATATCCAGGGCTGGGTGCAGTGGCTCACGCCTGTAATCCCAGAATTTTGGGAGGCCAAGGTAGGTGGAACACTTGAAGCCAGGAGTTCAAGACCAGCCTGACCAACATGGTGAAACCCCATCTCTACTAAAAATACAAAAATTAGCCTAGCATGGTGGTGTATGCCTGTAATCCCAGCTACATGGGAGGCTGAGGCAGGAGAATTGCTTGAAGTTGGGAGGCAGAGATTGCAGTGAGCAGAGACTGTGCCACTGCACTCCAGCCTGGGTGAGAGGATGAGACTCCATCTCAAATAAATAAATAAATAAATAAATAAGATGAATATCCAGGACCCCTTGCACGGGAGAAGAGTCATGAAAGGCAGCTCAAGGGTGGTGGAAGGAGGTGGTCTCAGTCCTGCCCTTGTGCCTTGATGATGGCTGTTCCAAGGAGCTGGCATTTTGTTCTACAGCCCTGGATCTCTATCAGGACACATCTCCCTTCTATCTCATGAGTAGCTCCTCTGAATGACTCCCAACCACCAGCCTCCTAAAACGTTTCCCAAAGTATGTTCCATCAGTACAGTGCTTCTCAAAGTAAGGTGCATATGAATCAGCAGGTGACCTTGTTAAATGCAAATCCTAATTCAGTCATTCTGGGCTAAGGCCTGAGATTCTGGGAATTGTTCTAACAAGTTCCCAGTGATGCCAATGCTGCTGGTCTGTGAACCAAACTTTGAGTAGCTAGGTACCAATAGTGCTTTATAATAAAAAGGGTTTGAGGGCAAATACAATTGAGAAAGTTTGAACTAAACGAAAATAAATGGTTTCATTACTGCAGGACTTCTCAGAGCCTTTAAAATGCTAATAAGCATTATTAATACCCAAGAGGAAGAAATTGCAATGTGTTATATGTGAGTTACTGATGTAACCAGAATGATATATCGGTTTGCAAAGAAGCAACGGAAAATCAGGAAAATTCTGTGCCTTTTTCCCACCTTACCTTGGTTCCAAAGCTGCAATTACAGCTCATACTCAACCCCAACTCAGCACTCCCCTCTTTCCCACTGTCTCCTTTCAGGTGTCTGGGTACATGCCTGTCTCCTCCATCAGACCACATACCTCCTGGCACCCCTGCTCGTCCTCCCTTCCCTGTCCCAGCACAGACTCTGCACTCAGAAGGCCCCAGGTGGAATACCTTTCGCAGACACGGACGGTCCAGGCAGCAATGATCCACAGAGAGATGCTGAACACGAGCAGCACAGTGCCAGGGCAGATGGTCATGAGCGTCTTCATGACGAAGCGGGTGTTGAAGTTGATCTTGTTGAGGGCCCCGATGCTGCGGGACGAGGCATCGGTGAAGAGCTTGCTGTGCAGCAGCATGACTCGGGCGATCAGGTACAGGCGCAGGAACATGGGGATAGACAGGATGATGTCCACATCGGCCTCCGCCCGGGAGGGTGTGTAGGAGAAGGCCAGGCGTGCTGTCCAGAAGAACTTGTACTCGCCAGGAATGGGGTGGATGGCGCACACCAGCATCTCCAGGCTGATGTAGAGGATGCGCTCGTAGGTCATGGCTATCCGCCAGTCATCCGCGCCATTGTCGATCACGAAGAGCTGGTGGGGGCAGAGAGTCCATTAGTGTGGCCAGGACCAGGAAGTGCACAGCAGGGCCCAGACAGGACAGGTGGGGCAGGCTGGGGCAGGCTCCTGGGCTCAGGTCAGCCTGACCCCCTCAGCCTGCTCTTTAGGGGCCTTGCTGTGTGGCAAGAGCCCTGGATGGGGAGTAGGGAGACCTGGATTCAGGTCCGGCTGGGAGGCCCTGGCTAAGACACTTTGACTCTCTAGGCCTCACTTTCCTCCTCTGCAAATCCCTTCCTGAGATATAGTGATTTATAATAAGAAATCATATAATTGGTCTTTATCCTGGTTTAGGCACAGTTCCTAAAACCTTAGGAATTTCCAAAGTGATAAGTGTCGTTTGTATGCTAATGAGATGACTAGTGGCTGGGGTGGGAGGTGGGGATCCAGGGTAGCCTCAGGATGGGTGCTGGTTGCCAGGGGAACCAATCTGGTGATGAGATGGCTGGAAATTTCAGCCCCACCCCACCACCTCCTGGGAGGGAAGAGGGGCCCGAAGGTTGAGTTGATCACCAATGGCCAATGATGTCATCAATTATGTCTGTGTAATGAAACCTCCATAAAATCCCAAAAAGACTGTGTGTGTGTGTGTGTGTGTGTGTGTGTGTTTTAACTTTTATTTTAGGTTCAGGGGTACATATGCAGGTTTACTATATAGGTAAACTTGTGTTACAGAGGCTTGTTGTACAGATGATTTTGTCAACCAGGTACTAAGCCTAGTACCCAATAGTTATTTTTTCTGATCCTCTCCCTCCCACTCTCCACCCTCAGTGTCTATCGTTCCCCTCTTTGTGTTTCGATGAGCTTCTAGATAGCTGGACACATGGAGGTCCCTGGACACGTGGAGGGTTCCGTGCCCAGAGAGGGCATGGAAGCTCCACCCCTTCCCATGCGCCCTGCCCTTTGCTTCGCTCCCATATGGCTGCTCATCTGAATCCTTTGTAAGGTCCTTTATAATAAACCAGTAAATGTGTTTCCCTGAGTTCAGTGAGCTGCTCTAGAAAATTAATGAAAACCTGAGAAGGGCGTCCTGGGAACCCCTGATTTATAGCCACTTGGTCAGAGGCTCAGGTAAAACAGCCTGGGGCTGGTGACTAGCGTCACAAGTGGGGTCAATGTGGTGGGACTGAGCCCTCAACCCATGGGAGCCAACACTAACTCCAGGCAGACAGTCAGGGTTGAGTTATATTGCAGGACACTCAGCCAGTGGCCACTGGAGAACTGCTTGGTGTGTGGGAACCACCCCCTCCTTTTTGCTGACCACAAGTGTTCTATATTGAGCCACTTCCCAAGGTCCCTTCCAGCACACAGGTGCCAAATTGGCTCTTTCACGATGGTGAGAAAGATCAACTCATTTGTATTAAAAACACATCCCTGAGCCCCTGCCAGACCTGAGCTGAGCCCTGGAAGGGGATGCGAAGATGAAAAAGTCATGTTTCCCGCATGAGTGAACTCGCAAGGGCTGGCACAGATTCCTTCTCCCCACTCAGAGAAGGGAGCACAAGTGTTTGCTGGTAGCACTGCGCTCTCAGACAGTGCAGTGAAGCATTCACGGCACGGACTCTGGAGCCAGACTGCCTGATCCTAACACTACTGGCTCCACGATCTTGGGCAAGTTACCGAACCGCCCTATGCCTCAGTGACCTCATCTGGGGATGATGATAATAGCTGCTGCACAGAGGCCGCTGTGAGGCTGCAGTGGGTTCGTATATGCAGCATGCATGGAATCCTGCCTAGCACCCAGCATGCTATGTAACTATTAGCTATTCTTAGTTTTAGCATTATTAATGGATCTGGTCTGTCTTTCTGTAAAATGACAGTTGGACTCAGTGATGTCTAAGCTTCCTTCTAGCCCTAACCTTTCACGAAGATGCTTCCTGCTGTCACCTCATGAGGATGGCTGTTCACACAAGAATTGACTGAGCACCAGCTGTGTGCCCAGCCTTTGTCTTCGGGTAAGTCCCACTGTGGAGTCCCACCATGTTTGATGACTGTGAAACGGAATTCACATCTTTCCCCTCTGTGGCCTCAGTCTTCATCTGAGACTGAAATGAGAAGCCTGTAAGGTCTCATCCAGCTCAGATGATTTGATTCTTGGAGGGTGAGGCCTGAGATCCGCGCATATGTTCGGTGTGGGCCTCCTGTGCAGGCACCTCACTTCTGGGAGGTAGTGGAGTGTTTATCATCACACTATGCCCTCTCTCTACTGGGCCCTTGGCCCTCCAGCAGATCTGGCTGATGCCTGTCCCAGCTCATCCACAAACACATCCCACTCAAGACTCCAGCCTCATATGCTGCCTGCTCCACCGATAGCCACAGAGAGCTGCTGCTCTCCAAAGCTGCTTATGTTTGCCTTTAAACAGGAGACAGGCAGGGTCCTGTGGCCTAACATGAGCTCAGGATGAAGGGCACCAACACCAGCACCTCCTGGCCAGGAGAGCAGCCCACGCATGCATCCTGGGAAGGCCTGAGCTGCAAGGCTGGAAGAAACTAGGCTGGGTTAGGAGAAATTAATGTTGAGGCCAGGGTTGGGTGGAGGTTTTACTTAACGTGGAAATACACCCTCAGCACAGAAAGAGTAACAGAGAGACTGGATCAGCGTGGATTTATGGGGTCTGGCTGAAAGCCAAGTGAAGCCTTCCTTTCCTCCCTTGCACAGGGAGATCAGGGAATGAAGAGCTCTTTATTCTGTCCATCCAACTGTCTCCTTGATGGTCTGGGCTGAAGGAAGCTTCTGCTCTGTTTCAAAGTTAGTCACCAAGCAGCTTTCTCTCCCCATTTTGCTGCCTTCCTTAGTTCAGCAGGAACCGAGGACCCAGGAGAGGACCTATGGTACCAGGCCTGGTGTGGGGTGGGCGGGCGATGCTTGCCTTGCTTTTAGCATCTACCTGTGATATGTTTCAGCAGCAAGGGGAACCTACCAGGCAATTCAGTGGGCCCTGAGAGGCATGGGCGGGGGAGGCAGCACTAGGAGGCAAGTCTCTCACCTTGCTGAGCCTCAGTTTCTCTTTCTCCCTGCTGTGTACCCTTACAAAGCCATAATGGAGAGCAGAGGAGACAATGGGTTGACAGGGCTTAATAAACTACAAAGGATCATTTGTTCATTCATTCATTCATTCAACAAACATGTGTTGAAGGCCCTATGAGCAGCCCCCCACCGACCCACCCATAAGGATCCTGAAGGGAAACTAGAGGGGACTGTGGGAGCAACTGGCTGAGAGGCTCACCTGGTGGCTCTAATCAGGGAGCTGTCATTTCTGAACAGGAGACAGTACCCAGCACAGCACCAGCTGGAGACTCACCCTCCTCCTTCCCCAGTGCAGCTGAGCCTGGGTTTTTCCAGACACAGGTTTCCCCCAGCAATTGGAAAGCCCTAATGGCTGTTCAAAGGGTTCCCTCTGCTTCTAACTGCCGCCCGACAGGCCAAGCCATGGCAACGTGACTGCCTGGCCAAATTCTTCAAATGCAAAATTAAAACCATCTACTCTGTAATAAAGAATTGCATCTGGTTACTATAGTAACTGGGTTCACTCTGGGCAGGAAGGGAAGCAACAAGTAACAGATTCCTTTGATTGCCTGATGAGGAGCGGGATTGTAAGCCGTCACAGCTGAAGGGGAGAACGCACCAGCAGCTCTGCCCAGCGTGACGGGAAGGTGCTGGTCCCCAGCTGCCTCTCGGGTGCCCTGCCTCAGTTGCAGCTTGCTGATGCAGGGAAGGTGGGGGCCACATGGGGTAGTGGAGCTGGAGGCCAGAGAGCTAGCCTGAAGTCCTCCACATCCAGGTATTAGCCATGTGATCTCAGGCCCTGTGTGACTTCTCTGAGCTTGTTTCCACATCTCCAACAGGGGAACATTGACCTTGGCCCTGCCTGCCTCATGAGGTTAGTGTTAGGATCCAATAATACAGATAAAAAGTTGGTGGCTGGGGTTGGTGGCCCACGCGGTGGCTCACGCCTGTAATCCCAGCACTTTGGGAGGCCGAGGCAGGCAGATTGCCTGAGCTCAGGAGTTCGCAAACAGCCTGGGCAACACAGTGAAACCGTCTCTACTAAAACACAAAAAAATTAGCCGGGTGTGGTGGCGGGCGCCTGTAGTCCCAGCTACTCGGGAGGCTGAGGCAGGAGAATCGCTTGAACCCGGAAGGCAGAGCTTGCAGTGAGCGAAGATTGCGCCACCGCACTCCAGTCTGGGCGACAGAGCGAGACTCAGTCTCAAAATAAATAAATAAATAAATAAGTCCGACAATGCTTTACTAACTGTCTAAAAATGTGAGGGATCTTTAAGCTGGAGGGCCTGGGGGGCACTCATAAACACTGTGTGTAAAGAGGCGGTGTTTTGAGTAGGCGGTTGGGGGAGTTTTCAGGCTGCAGGTTAAAAGCCTCTGCTAGACAGGGCTCCACTGCAGGGTTTTCTGCATCTGCAGGGTGCGACGTGGCCCAGAAGATCCCATTGCTGTCCCACATGAGGACACTCTATGCTTCCTTCCTTCCTTCTGACCCCTGGAATCACAGTTCTCCAAGTGTGGTCTCGCTCCCTCCCGTTTCAGAGCAAGTAGCAGATACCCCACTCCGCTGGTTCCTCACTCTGCATCCCATTCATTCCTAACAAAGCACAATCCCAATTATTGGTTTGCGTTTGTGAGATTTTTGCTGTCTCACCCCTTAGACGTGGTTCTCAACCTACTCACATCGCACATTAGAATAACTTGGAGAGCTTGTTCAAAAATACCCATGCCCAGGCCCACCCCAGGCCAAGTAAATCAGAATCTCTGGGGGTGGAGCCCTGGCACGGGGGTTCTTCTTAAGGCTCCAAGGTGAGTCTAAAATGTAACCAGGATTGGGACCCCCCCCCCCACCAGTCACAGTTGGAGCTCCAAAGAGACAAGGGCTGTGTCTTCCTTGTTCCCTGTGGCATCTCCAGAGCCTAGCTCAGATCTTAGTGCTTAGTAGGTGTTCAATAAATGCTTGTTTAGTGAA